ATTATAACATCAAATATTATTTAAAAAATTTTGTTAATAATGAGTTTGTATAGAGCACGTATATTTGGTCATTGGCGTTATTTTCTCTTTTTAGAAAAATGTAACTTTTGTAGATTCGTACGTCATCTGGTAATTAGGAAAATTTAAAATATATATCCTTATAAATATTTACTCTAATAAAAAAAATCATACTTCTATTTGACCTTTGTGAAAAATTCTACAAACGCTTGTTGAGGCAATCACTGTACCACATTTAATATCAGACAATATGTATTACAGAACATCAGTTATAGCACCAAGAAAAAAACGCAGCAAGTTGTGGAATTATTTCAAGGAATTGAAACCTTTGCTAGTAAAGTGCACGACCTGTAAAAGAGAAATTAAGGTATCTAGCCCAAGAAACTACACAAACGTAATGAGAAGGCACTTAAGTAGACATGGAATATTTCTCGACAATGACTCTTTCTCACTACCTGACGACTTAAAACAATATTACTCGGAGTTACCGGGATATAAGGCAAAATGCAATAATTGCGGCAAAACATTATCCTTCTTAACAGATTTTAAAACATTACAAATACATTTACGAAGACATTCCACAAGAATCCTGAGTCGAGATGAGTAAGTACACAATCAAAAAAATATGAAAATACTAAAAATTATCAAATAAATGTGTAATGATAAAACAATCAGTAGCTAAACAAAATGGAGTAAATAAAGGTTTTTATCGGGGCATCCATATAATATTTATATGCAATTTTGATCATAAATGTGCATGTACAATGTACATACACCTAGTGCGTTTTTTACCTTTTTTTTTAAATATATGTTTGAAGATCTGTACGCAATCTGATACTTGTGCAAATTTTAACTATATATTCGTATAAACATACATTCTACTAAATTAAATGTGTCTTTATGACCTTTGTAAGAAATTCTACAAACGCTCGTTGATGCAATTGCTGTACTACATTTAGTATCAGACAATCTATATTACAGGACGGTTATAATGGCACCGAAAAGAAAACGCAGCAAGTGTTGGAATTATTTCAAGAAATTGAAACCTTTGCTAGTAAAGTGCATGACCTGTAAAAAAGAAATTAAGGTACCTAGCCCAGGAAACTACACAAACGTAATGAGAAGGCACTTAAGTAGACATGGAATATTTCTCGACAATGACACTCTCTCACTACCTGACGACTTAAAACAATATTACTCGGAGTTACCGGGATATAAGGCAAAATGCAATAATTGCGGCGAAACATTATCCTTCTTAACAGATTTTAAAACATTACGAGTACATTTACGAAGACATTCCACAAGAATCCAGAGTCAAGATGAGTAAGTACACAATCAAAAAATTATTAAAATACTAAAAATTATAAAATAAATGTAATGATAAAAGAATCAGTAGCTAGAGAAAATTGAGTAAATAAAAGTTTTTATCGGGGCATCCATATAATATTTATATACAATTTTGATCATAAATGTGCATATACACCTGGTGCGTTTATTACCTTTTTTTTAAACATGTTTGAAGATTTGTACGGGATCCGATAATTATGCAAATTTTAACTATATACCCGTATAAACATACATCCTAATAAGTAAAGCATGCCTCTTTATGATCTTTGTGAAAAATTCTGCAAACGCTTTTTGATGCAATCGCTGTACAACATTTGGTGTCAGACAATCTGTATTACAGGACAACACCGAGAAAAAAACGCAGCAAGTTGTGGAATTATTTCGAAAAATTGAAACCTACTCTGGTAAAGTGCACGATCTGTAAAAAAAAAATTAAAATACCTAGTTCATC